CGAGGTAGCAGTCAAAATTGCCATTCAAGACAAGCAGGAGTGGTAAACGTCCTACAAGAAGAGCTTTGGTCGACATGAAGAAGGTAATGTACCGGTCTAACATTGTCGGCATTATGAAAACCGTGTTAGAATTAGATTTCAATGATCGCCATGTAAAGCAATTACACAAAATCTCATTCTGGCTCATGATTGACGCGATCCGAGTGCATAAATTGGATCCGGCTGCATATAAGAAGTGTGATGCGACGGTGTGCCGTGTGATTCAGACATATAACCCTATTGACGAGAAATTTTACATCGGGGGGATACGGCTACCAATCCGAAATTGTGACATCCGTTTATTATTTGGTTTGCAATGTGGGAGGGAGAAGTTAGATTTGTCGCATGTTGGTAAAGGACCGATAAATTTTATACAAAGAAGATGTCCTAACGTTAGCTGGATTTCGTCGAAGGTAATCAAAGATGCGCTTGTAGTGGCAATGCGCGGGAAGACTGAGCGAGACAAAGAAGATGTTGCAAAGTTGATGTGCCAGTACATATGTGCCAAATTATTTTTCCCCACAACAGGTGAGTCCATTGGTTGGGCGTTTTTGCGGGTTATCGATAAGTTGGAGACTTTACAGTTGTATGATTGGACTGCAACAATCTGAAACTCACTGGTTTCTTCATTGAATGAGGTGCATAGTAGGCCAGAATGGGTCACCGGTTGTGTCGTAGCGTTGCTGGTAAAATTATGATGTAAAACCCAGAAAAGCCATTTAGCTTCTAAAAACATTAAGAGTTTGATTGTGTAAGAGTTATTGATGTTGTGATTAACCATTTGCTATTGTTGTTTTATTTGTAGTTTCTGATTTACGAGCACACGGACATTACACAGCCAAGTAGACCGAACGTTGCACCACGGTTTTGTCGGTGGAACCTTGGAAAATTAATCGGTAAACTGAAAAGCGTGGAATTATCGGTGGAGGGTTCTTTTGAGGTATGACATTGAAGTTACTGATGGCATGTGATATATGTTTGGTTGGTTTGTACTTAATATTTGTTACAAATTTTTTTTCCCCCGTTCAGGTTAATCCTAACAAACTGTCTGGGACTGTCATTGAAAGGTATTTTGTTGAGAAATCGGCAGATGCAGAAGGCAATGTGGAAGAGGGAGGGAAAGTGTTGGTAGTGGAGCCGGTTAGTACGTGGAATGGGTTGTCTACTAATGCCCCTGATGTTGCTGTGAACGTTGTTGAACCCAGTTTAAATTGTTGGCAGCCAGATTCACCCAATAGTGGTGAGGTTGAATGGACGTCTGCCAACAAGAATGAAGAAACTCGCAACACAAAGCCATATGGTATGAGCAATGAGAATACTAATCAAATGGCAGATGAAAGATCATGCTCGGTTTTCTTCCCTGATCTACTAGAACTGGCAAGCACACAACCTAGGGGCTCCGTTTGTGAAGACACCAATGGCGCAGCCGAACAGGTAGGAAAGGCAATGCAGAGAATTAATGAATTGGAGATGGAAGTTTGTGTGAAGTCTGCCCGTTTACATGATGTGGATGTTAAAGTTGCGGCGATGGAGAGATTAGTAGGTGCACATGCCACCAACCTGTTCATCGGCTACGATAGTGTAATTGTTGCAAAAGATGCTGAAATTTTGGGGCTGACGACACAAGTTCAAAAGCTGGAAGCGAGGATAACAGTTTTGGAAGACCATGTGGATGAGTGTGAGGTGCATGAAGTAACGCAGACAGTTTTTAAGGAGAAAAACAAAGAACAAGCGGCGTGGGAAAATAATTTGTGCAAAACTAACAAGTCTGAAAATGTGTTAGTTTCTGGTAGTGGTGAAAATCTGGCGGATGGTTGTGGAATAAATGCGAATATCATGCCTGCCACCACAGATGATGTTACAGACATGGAGTGGGTTGGTAAATTGGGTGATGAACAGTTAGTCAATAGAAACTTGGATTCGTCATCGTTTGATTGTGACATTGAGAATGCTGTTGTCACTGAACAAGAGAACAACCTTGTCAACGTTGAAAGCATAACGATGAACAGGACTGACAGGTTGGAAGACATCAGACCTGGCCCGGATATGCCATCGTTGGTAAGGAGAGTTAAGAGCAAGGCACGACGTGAATTTCGATTAACTGACTACGATTACCCCATTTTAGGTGGTCGTGGCAAACAGAAATGGAAAAGTGGTAATAGGGAAGCTGTTGGTGCTAAAGTAATATGTGATGTTGAGGATGTTGAAGTTGGAAATAAAACATGGCAAGGATTTGGAATGAGCAAAAAACATGATGTGTGGAACATGCTTGATGAAGATGAAATTATGCTATTGAAAAGAGTGTACACATTTGACGGCGACGGGTAACCAATATGAATATGATTTCATTTCTATGTAACTGTGTGCGTTAAAGTGTGTAATTTTGAACATTTGGTAATGATGTGATGTTGTTTACAGAGCTGTAATATGGGATGGAGGTGAAAGCGGTATACAAGTTTTGTTCGGTGATATTCGTGACCTATTGCAGAGATCTTCTATTCAAGGGAACGTAAGTATAGTGTTAACACACTGGAAATTATGTTCTAAACATAGTCCGAACATGAGTTTCCGGTAGAAAAATGTTTGCGTGACAGAAATAAACTCATGACTGACTAGTGTAGGTCATTGACGCGTACGCAACAATGTTGATGGAATTGCAGGAAAAAGCATTTGACAGACAAGACGTTGGGGACAGTTCGTATGTTTTTAGCAGCGTATGCTCGGTAAGTGTATTGAATGTATTTTCTTGTACGTAGCCATATACTTTCGAACATCACCCATAGTGTAAAGTGCATTTATTTTTTGCAAGATACCTGATTACGTTGGAACGCCTGGCATAATAAAACAGGATTTTATGAGGAATCCAAATGCACTGTCACGGGGGAAATATTTGAATATGCAAATCAAAGCTGCAAAAGGACACAGATACACGCATTACCCGGTGTACCATGCCAAACACTGGACTGTAATGGTGCATGACACGGCCAGCGGGTCATGGAAACATTATAATTCGTTGAAACCGATGTGAGGAATACGTGATGAACATTACAATGAATCGCTAAAAGTGGTAAGTTTGTCAATGTCAAATTAGTTGTTACCATACGTATTAATTTTTGCTCGTAAGTTACTGCCATTCTGTAAAATATGTGCATGTTTTATAGGAAAACATTTGTTATGAATTCTAGTTAGTATGATGTAAATCTGTATCCCACAAAAATGACGTATATTTAATTTGATTTCATAGAAACAGTGGGTGGACGAATATTATGCAAAACTTGTCTGGCCACGGTTGGCACCCGGTATTGTTAGAATGCCAGACTTTGACAGACCCCTTGTTTCAGTCATTGATTGTCCACAACAGAGCCCGGAAACGTAAGTTGTTACAGTGTGCTGGTTATGTGTTTTTTTTTTTTTGCTTGAAAAAAAATTAACTTCTTACAGTCACGGGGACGTTGATATGGTTGGTTGACTGGTTGCAGATCAGATTGTGCAATCTTTGTCTGCTACATCATCAGGCAGTACATGCATGGTTGCGACATAGGCTCCACGATGGAAGAAACAACGCCACTAGAGTTATGAGCAGCAATGGTCAAGATGTTCCTAAACGACTCAGGCAGAGGCCTTCGCAGTACAATACGTTGAAGGAAAATGACAACGCTAGCAGCCCAGAAATTTTGGAAATTGCAAAATGGATTCTGAATTTACATTTTGATGGTTGATTATATTTTTGCTGAACGTCGTTGACAACTTACTTTGTTTTGGTTCGACTATTTTGGAGTATGGTACTTAGATATTGTTTGTTTGCTTTGTCGCGTACATTGTGACTCGGTTTTTTTGAACAAATGACGCGACGTTACGTAGTTTACACTACTTCAATTTTGTTTGATTGCTTTATCGCGTGCATAGTGACTTGATATTTTTGAACAAATGTCACGACGCTACATAATTTACACATTTGCTCAGGCTCAAATGTTTTGTGTAGTTTGTTTTGATGTCTACACTGTATGAATGTGATTTGAACAAAATGTCATTGATATTTTTGGAATGTACAATTTGTTGGCTGTTGTAGGGATTGTTGTGGTAGTATTCTTGTTGATGTTGGTTTTTTTTTTTTTATTTTGGGTCAAAGTTACATCAGTGTTGCATTGGTCGTGTAAATGTGATAACAGACTTATTTTCAATGGTATTTGACGATAATAATGTCAGCAGTGTGTGTGTTTTCAATTAAGTTACTCGAGGTGATGTTTGGAAAGGGTAGTACGTTTTTCATTGCGCAATGTTGAAATGGCAATGTTATAGGTGGACCATTGTGTTGTGTTGGGCAGACATGCCATTGGTCGAAGTACGTATTGTTTACTATTGAACTGTGGATAGCAGGTCAGGTGGTGATTGATAATAAGTCAATTGTCATTCTGATGTTGTTCACATGCATATGTTAATTTATTTATAGGTGCTTGGTGAAATTGGTAATTTGGTTTGTTTTAGAATGTTGAAGTGTGAATGTCAACGGTGGACCAGTGTGTTGGGTTGGGGAAACATTGATTTTCTTCGCGCACACGGATGATGTAATTGTGAGACATGTACAACATGTACGTTCTGAAAGGATTTTTTGGTGTCAAACGTTGTCATCAATGTAAGCCACTTAATTAAATTCGAAGTGGGTAAAGCTGATGTATGGGTTTAGTCTAAGTGGCACTGAAAATTTTCATGAATCAACACAAATTAAACATTCTGAAAGGCATTCTTTTGGAAGATCAGGTTATGTAACTTTTTATAACAAGTCACTACACTTATCTTACAGCAAGATGAGGTAAATGTAAAAAATAATTGAACTGCGGATAAACTTTCATTATTGTAGAGTAATACGGTAAAGTTATGTGAGAGTTAACATAATTATTTAATAATGTCAATCAAATATTTCATCAACGTTCTCAAATAAGATAAAGTTGACAAGAAGTTTGCTACATGGCTTCCTTGCATGTTTTCCTGTTATGATGGCCCATTTTGCCACATCGACCACACCTAATGTGTTGAACAACCTCGCCCTTTGATGGAATTCTTTTCCGCTTGGGCCTTCCAGGAGGATGTTTGTAAACGGGTGGTGCAATGAGATAATCTGATGGTGTGAAATTGGGTTTTGCCACGGTGGGAATTGGGTGAATTGACCCTTCATATGCTTCCCTATACTTCACCACATGAAAAAACGGTTCAATGTAATTGTACACATTCTTACCAGTATTCCGAAAAGCAACAATCGCGTGGGGACATGGGAAACCATTTAGTTGCCACTGAAAACAAGAACATGAACGATTGCCAACGTCAACTAACACTGATGGCTGGGACCGAACCTCAAAAATGTTATCATCCGATTGACTAACAATCCAGTGCCTGCTATCTTGAAACTCAGACATCAAACACTTTTCCATTTTCGGACAAAGTTCTCCAACCCAGTTGTTGGATTTTACTTTACGCTTTGACAATTTTTCAATGATCTTTCCCCTTATTGCATCCACCAATTGAGTAATGGGCAGGTGGCGAGCTTTCCGAATCCAATTGTTGAACGACTTTGCGGCATTAGACCACATCTCACCGTATCGGCGACCCCCTATAAAAGGTAAACAATTAGTGATGTACATGCCCTTCAATAAGTTATAAACAGATAGTGGAAGACACGAATACGTAAATATAAAAATACCTAAAGTACGCGTTGGCCCAATGTTAGGGATGCAGGTCTTTTAAAAAATTACCAACCACTACTGGGCTACATTGTTTTAAAATTTCAACTTTCTGGTTGTATGACGTTACTGTAGGTGCGTAAGCACAATCTCGTAACTTCCTCATTAGACCAACTTTCTGATCAGCGTTAACATATTTCATCCGGTCACGAAGATTCATCTGAAGATGTAACAAACAAAATGCATGGTGCACCGCGGGGAAGACAACGGGCATCGATTGTATTAAACCCAAATTACGATCAGACACGAAAGTTAAATTCCGAGCTCCGTCTACAACTTGGGCCAAATGACGCAAAAACCATTCCCAATTTGATGAGTTTTCAGAATCGACAATAGCAAACGCGACGGGGAATAAACCTGCATAACATCATGTGAGTACCATGCTATGTAAATTAAGTTGTTGCTACATAATGCAATATCAAATTATACAATTTGTAAAACCGTAAGTAACATGGTATGGTGACAGAGAAATGTGTAACATAGTTCTGGAGATAGTACAAATAACCATTATGAAATTGTCATCCATACCTTGGTTTCCATCCTTGGCGGTGGCAGCGAGCAACGTCCCTTTGAACCTTCCCTTCAAAAATGTACCATCCAAAAATAGAAGTGGACGGCAACCATTGAACCCGTCTATGCATGCACGGAAAGCTATGAAATACCTCACAAACCTCCCTGTTTGCTGATCGAAATCCAAATTAATGTAGCTATGTGGGTTGTTTTCCATAACAGCGTCGCTGTACCACCTAAGTTGGTCGAACGACATAGCGTGGTCGCCAAATACTTCGTTCCTTGCTTTTTCCACCCCTAACCATGCAACCCGATAACTAATATCCAGACCATAACCATCCTTCATGTCAAATACCACATCCGTCGGCCGTGTTAGTGGTTGTTCACGCACACGTCCTGCAATCACATTGGACACCAAATCTGACCCAGTTCGTGGATTACGGTATGTTCGTACAGCAGCCCCACAGGAATGTACACTAATAAATCTCTTCAAACACATAACACCATTCGAAGGAGACACCCGTGCGTGAACCAACCACCCGCACGCAGTTGACGTTACAAATTTGCATATAGCAGTAACACGTACATCGTCGTTTTTGACATACTTGAACTGAAACCCACATTCCACTGCGTACTTGCACAATACCGTTCGGAATTCATGTGCACCACCTGGAAAAAATTGGCCGACATGCGTGATGCCGAATGCCCACCCAGCAGACAAATACGTCTTCGTTCGATGAGGACAATATGTCGCCAACAAATCCGTTCGGTCTTCCATATCGGCCGTCCGCATATCCACGGTCTCACACTCCCCATCATCATGTGACACTGGAAGACCACGTTGAGTAGCAGACCCATGATCCCGAACTTCAATTATCGCGTCAATATGTTGAAGCCCGAAAGACTTTGCAAGTAATAACATGTTTCGAAAGTCATCGTCAGAGTCAACCTTAAACTTATTATATCCTGGAATAGAAAACAATAAACAAACCAATTCCCGCTCCATGATATCAAACTTGTCACAAACAACATCAATTAATTGTTTGAAAGTGAATGCTTGATGAATGCGTAACACAGCGTTGATCACACCGAACGTACATAACAACAACACTGCAAACTCCATAAATATGAAAAACCACCTGCAACAACATACACATTACACCAAGAAAAAATTAAACACACATTCACATTAACGTACCACCCCCCCATTGACAATAACAGCCCACCACCCAGAAAACAACCTTCTTCGCTACAACATCAATTCAAACTGAACCATAAACTAAACAAATTACCACATTAACATTTGGAAATTAAGAACCTAAATACCGGCAACCTAAAATTGGTAACAAATACGAAAAGTAGCAAAACCCGCAAATGAATTTGAACGTACAAAATTGAATATGTATGTACCCACGTAGACAAATATAACAGATACATCACAGTTCACTACGAAGCAAAATAACTTCTGCTTCATTGTAATGACTCAAAGGGACATGTGCCTCGGTTCTCGGACCACCAATCACGCATTTCCATGCATGATGGCCCAAAGAACCAAGTATGCAACTTTGATTTCAAATGTATGCAAACCAATCAAACAAAACTAGGCCCAATTCCTATCACCAAATCAAGGAATGAGGCATGCACGCAAGATGCAATGCAACCTAGTCATACAAGCTAGGAATGCAACATGACATGGCAAGGCACTTATGCAATCATGCAAGCATACATATGGCAATGCAAATGGATGGCAAGATGGACTTATACATGAATTAGGCAACTCTAAAAAAGGGCTTAAAACAGTGGCCAAAGTGCTATAAAATGAGGGCTAAATGGCATGCACACACATATGCACATAAGGACCAACACTTAAGCACAAATCAAACAACATTCAAGCACACTTGAAAGGGGGAAACATGGACAATTAGCATGCAACATAAGCATTGAAAATGCATGTTAGGATGGTGCCAAACCAAGCAACAAATCAAGCTAAACATGCAACAAATAGTCTAAGTGTTCAAAGCAAATCCAAGGAGCATTGAAATACACTTACAAGACTAAACATGGTATGAGCTTATCAACCAAAAACAGAGTTTTGGGGCATCAATACAAGGCCTAAGGACCACTTAGATGGCATCTAAATGACCCAAAAAATCGAAACCATTGCATGGACTGAGACGCTTATGAAAGCGTTGGGGGCAAAGCTGAAGGACCACTTAGATGGCATCTAAATGACTCCAAAACAAAGGCATGCACAAACACCAAAACATGTAGCATTGCAACACATGCTTTCAAAGCATTAAAGAGACATGCAGGGCAATCCAACAAGCATGGAAATGGGACCGAAATAGCATGTAGGATTGATCCCAAATCACCAAAACAATGCAAAGATGGCATGCTACACATACACATACTCAAGGCCAACAAGCCCAAATACAAAGGAGCTATATATTGCATGCTAAAATCGACCCAAACACTTATGGTCAGACTTAGAACATGGCAAAATAAGCACATAATCTTCACAAGACTAAGCCTAAAACATGCTCCAACAAAGGCTAACAACCTAAGGCACATTAAGGCACAAACATGGCATTACATGGCAACTATGCTAAGCATGATGGAGTTCCAAAACCAACTTAAAATCATGTTATATTATAGATATATAAGCATGAAAAACAAACCAAACATGCTCAACACACACTCAAGCATAGGCTTCCTTAAGAGGCCAAAATAGGTCCTTTTCAAGGACAACAAGGAGAGGGGGTGGCCCTCTCCTTCTTGGGACTTCAAAGCATCATCTTCACCACTGAAATCCCTCAAGATTTCAGTGGTGAAGAGACCTCAACACCAAAATCCCGGAGCTAACACAAAATGGCTCAAAATGAGGCCTTTCAAGGCCTAAGAGGGGTCAACAACCCTCAAACAACAAAACACTCTTAATAAAAAATAAAGAGGGCCTAAAAACAGAAATTTTTTATGTTTACAATAATAAAAAAAGCTCTACAATAGGTATAAAATCAATAGCATAAATGTGGAAAAAGACTAGAATCTACCCTTGAAACTTTACAAATGGTGCTACCCAATGCCTCCTTAGAGCTGAATCCAAACCAAAATCTCAAAACAAACTCTTTATGAACCATCATTCCAAGGAAGTGTGAAACACTAGGTGTTTGTGTGCAATAGTAAGACACAAAGCACCTAGTGAACAAAATGAGGGGGAAAGAGAGATAGAGTGTGTATCTAACACTAACCCTAGAACAATAGCTCAACAATGGCTGCTTTTGCTCTCTAAAAAATCCTAAGTCTAACCTTGTCTCTCTCTCTTTTTTGCCTTAGAGAGAGCCTCTCTCTATATGTCTCTTGTAAAGCTTACAAGACAAGCTTTGCAAAAGGGAGATCCCTCCATACACGTGTATGGAGGGGAGCAAAAGCAAGACAGCTGTCTAAAAATATCTGCAAAAGCAGATGAACAGCAATCGGCCGGCCAAAAATGTCATCTTGGCCAAAAAGAGTGCCGACCGGCACAAACAAGTGCTGACCGGCAACAAATAGTGCCGGCCGGCAAACTATATTGCCGGTGGCAGCAAACACCAGCCGGTGGCCTCTAGCCACTGCCGGTGATGGGTGGGGATGGTCTACAAGCCCCACCCTGCCTCTCAAGGGCAAGATGCAAGTGTTTGGTGCAAAACCAGACACTAAACGGTCGAGTTCGGAGATCCTGAGGCAAGGCACGCGAGCCGAGGCCTCCGGGAACTCTTGAGGACGGTCAAAACGGTGACGTCCAAGTCTTGAGGACGGTCAAAAATGGGGTGTCTACACCGGCAACCATTGAACCCGTCTATGCATGCACGGAAAGCTATGAAATACCTCACAAACCTCCCTGTTTGCTGATCGAAATCCAAATTAATGTAGCTATGTGGGTTGTTTTCCATAACAGCGTCGCTATGCCACCTAAGTTGGTTGAACGACATAGCGTGGTCGCCAAATACTTCGTTTCTTGCTTTTCCACCCCTAACCATGCAACCCGATAACTAATATCCAGACCATAACCATCCTTCATGTCGAACACCACATCCGTCGGCCGTGTTAGTGGATGTTCACGCACACGTCCTACGATCACATCGGATACCAAATCTGACCCAGTCCGCAGATTACGGTATGTTCGTACAGCAGCCCCACAGGAATGTACACTAATAAACATCTTCAAACACATAACACCATTCGAAGGAGACACCCGTGCGTGAACCAACCACCCGCACGCAGTTGACATTACAAATTTGCATATAGCAGTAACACGTACAACGTCATTTTTGACATACTTGAACTGAAACCCACATTCCACTGCGTACTTGCACAATACCGTTCGGAATTCATGTGCACCACTTGGAAAAATTTGGCCGACATGCATGACGCCGAATGCCCACCCAGTAGACAAATGTGTCTTCGTTCGATGAGGACAATATGTTGCCAACAAATCCGTTCGGTCTTCCATATCAGCCGTCCACATATCCATGGTCTCACACTCCCCATCATCATGTGACACTGGAAGACCATGTTGAGTAGCAGACCCATTATCCCGCACTTGAATTATCACGTCAATATGTTCAAGCCCGAAAGACTTTGCAAGCAATAACATGTTTCGAACGTCATCGTTAGAGTCAACCTTAAACTTATTATATCCTAGAATAGTAAACAATAAACAAACCAATTCCCGCTCCATGATATCAAACTTGTCGCAAACGACATCAATTAATTGTTTGAAAGTGAATGCTTTATGAATGCGGAACACTGCGTTGGTCTGACCGAACGTACATAACAATAACACT